GATGATGATGATGATGATGATGATGATGCGGATTGTGATGGTGATGATGATGATGATGATGATGATGATGATGCGGATGATGATGATGATGATGATGATGATGATGATGATGATGATGATGATGATGATGATGATGATGATGATGATGATGATGATGATGCTGATGCTGATGCTGATGATGATGATGATGATGATGATGATGATGATGATGATGATGATGATGATGATGATGATGCGGATGATGATGAGGATGAGTAGGAGGACGAGGATGAGGATGATGATGGTGCTGCTGCTGCTGAGGAGGAGGATGATGAGGTGGAGGAGGAGGAGAGGGAGAAGGAGGAGGAGAAGGAGGAGGAGGAGGAGGGAGCACTCTCCCTCTCCCACTCCCTCCTCTCCTTAACCTCGTTCCCCTCTCCCCTCTCCTCCCCACTCCCTTTCCGTCCTCGTTGTCGTCCTGATGACTCTCAGACCCACTACGGTTTGAGGGCAGTCGGACTCAGCAGGCAATCGGAGAGCGATTGGTGGATCTCACCATTCGGGGCCTCATGGCAGCTCGGCAGGCCGTCGGCTTCCTTGCCAGTGCACTCCTCACGCGCTCCATGCCCGCAGAGGCGGCGGGGCGGGGAAGGTCGCGCGCCTGTCGTTGACCCCGATGGGGAGTGCACCGCCGCCCCGCACCTGCAACGCCTGGATCTCGGCCCCGGGTGCCCGCGTGTCGTGCCGTGCCGTGCGGCTCTCGTTAGTCTGACCGCCCGGACCCAGGGGCGGGGCAGCAAGCACCAGCTTTGCAGGGAGGAGGAGGAGGAGGAGGAGGAGGAGGAGGAGGAGGAGGAGGAGGAGGAGGAGGAGGAGGAGGATGAGGAGGAGGAGGAGGAGGAGGAGGAGGAGGAGGAGGAGGAGGAGGAGGAGGAAGAGGAGCCCCTCCCTGTCCCGCTCCGTGCGGGGTCGCTTCCCCCGAGTGGCGGCCCCGTCGAGTGGGTCGGTCCTTTCCCTCAAGAGCCAGCAGCCCTTACCTGCCCTCCGAGTCGCTTCGAGCCGCTCGGAGGTCGAGGAGAGCTCTCCCGCTTCTTCTGCTCCAGCCCCTCCTCCCCTCTCTTCCCTCCATTTGGGATGCAACTCCTGGGAGGTCAGAGTCGGCATCGGCGCGGGTAGATCCGTGGTCGACAACTGGCCTAATCAGGCACAGTCCCGCTTCATCTGGCTGAATCCCGTCTTATCTAGCTCAATCCTGGGCTTAATCAGGCCTTCTCTGGCCTGCGTACTGGCCCCTGAATCGGGCTTCGCAGCCCTGAACCGTTCTTAGCAAGACCTCCTATGAGTTGTTTCCTAACTCCCCCCTCTCGGACGGGGCCAGGATGAGGGTAAATCCGTTCCAGAGCGCTCCGGAACCCTCTCAGAGGGTTCTGGAACGCTCGGAGAAGGCCGCGGCGCCCGATACATCCTCCCAAACCGCCAGATCCCAGAGATTCTCGATTTCATCCTCACCCGATTTTATCCTCGTCCTGGCTTCGTCTTATCCTCCGCCCCCCCCTGTCCTCCCCCCTCCGCGCGCGCGGCCGCGCGAGTCGAAGTCGCCGCGGCCGCGGCGGGCAGCGGGGGGCGCGCCCCCCCTCGTCTCTGCTCGCGGCCCCGCGCGCGCGGAGGCCGTCGCCGTCGCCACCTTGTCGCCATCTTCGTCCTCGTCCTCATCCTCCTCCTCCTCGTCGTCGTCGTCGTCGTCGTCGCCGTCGCCCTCTGGCGAGGGCGGAGCCGACGAGCCTCCGTTTCCTCGCCCCCAGTCCATGATGGCCGAACGGGAGATGGGAGGGTCCTCCTGCGTTTAGCGGACAGTGAGCTGCACAGCTGTTGCGTCCAGGGGGGGGAGTCCTCACCTTCCTCCTCCTGCTCCTCTGGGCCTTCGGCTAGGCCTCCCAACGTGGCCGTGGGCCAGCGCCGCTCGAAGAGCACAGGCCAATATGGGATTGGGGAGAGATCCAGGGGCTGATTTGCAGCGGATTCCGGGCGGTTGGGGCGAGGTCGAAATCGACGAGCTTCCGCCCTGAAGCTCAAACAGAAACTTTCGGAGGCCCCCTCCGCCTCCTCCGACGACGACGAGGGGGAGGAGGGGGGAGGAGGAGAAGGAGGAGGAGGAGGAGGAGGAGGAGGAGGAGGAGAAGGAGGGGGGAGGAGGAGGAGGCGGAGGAGGAGGAGGAGGAGGAGGAGGAGGAGGAGGAGAAGGAGGAGGAGGAGGAGGAGGAGGCGACGACGAGGACGAGGACGAGGACGAGGACGACGACGCGCCTCCGCCTCTCCTTTCCTCGACTGAAGGAGACAGCTGTGTGAACAGCACCTCTCGGGGGTCCGCGCGGATTTCTTGGATCTGCGCTCGAGAGCCTCCTGGCGGCGCCTCTTGGGCTGCCGCAGGCGCGCTCCGCGCGCCAGCGAGAGCGCTCGCCCCGGATCCGAGAATACCATGCGAACCTCTCAAACGTTAATGTGTTTTGTTTATGTTTATGTTAGTTATTATTTTTGCTGAGTGTTTCTTATTAATTGTCATGTTTATGTTTAGGTTAGGTTCACCTCCGAAAACATTATGTTTCTGTTTAGCTTAGGTTCACCTCCGGACATTTGTGTTTAGGTGAGGTTCACCTCAGACAATTTATGTTATGTTTTTTGTTTCTCCTTATGTTCCCGCGTCCTCGTCGTTGTCGTCGTCTCGGCCGTCGCTGCCGAGGAGCAGAGGGGGACGAAGTGTTGGGATGTCGGCCAGGATTTGGCGGTAACGCGGCAGGCGCAGCAGCCGCCGCCCAGGCTTGGTTTCACACGTATCCAGCGTTGGCTTCGGGGAGCAGGGGTTCCGCTTTCCCGAAATTTGCCGCCGTCCGTCGCTTCGTACTGCCCGTGCCATTTTACTTCGAAGGACAAACAAGGTAAAAGCCACTAACGGCAGGTCACAGCGGCGGACAGTGGGGGTTCCGCACACGTAGGAGGCAAACGCGGGGAACGACGCAGCAGAGTTCGTTCTGATCTTTCATTGGCTACGGACCAACAGATGTGATGATCGACAGGGGGGCTTCCTGGGAGGGGTTGAGCTGGGTCTGTTGCCGGGCTGGTCGCGTAGGGAAATCCGCACCATGGGCATTCTCGAGGTTCGCACTTGACGTTCTCCTGTTTCGTGACAGGCGGTACCTTCGAGATGAGGAGAAGGCGTACGGTGGGGAGGGCATGGGAGGGGAGGAAAGGGGAGGGGAGGGGTGGGAACAGATGGGAGGGGAGGGGCGGGGACAGGGGAGGGGAGTGGAGGAGCGAGGCGGGAGGTGGAGGGAGGCGGGGAGGGAGCGGGGGGAGGCGGGGCGAGGCGAGGCCACGCCAGTGGACTGGGCGCGGTGGGGCAGCGAGAGAAGTCGGGAGCGGAGGCGACCCCCGCCCGCCCCTCCGAGGGCGAGCGCGGCAGGTGCGCGCCGTCCGCGACCACCTCTGGGCCTCGGGCGGGGCCGCCCCGGGGGCACGGCCGGGCGCGGCCCCACACACGCACACGCACACGCACACGCACACGCACACGCACACAGGACGGTGCCCGTTATGGGCGCCCGGGCCCAGCGGCGGGACCGCGCCGCCGGGGGCGTGGCCGCGGCGCGGGGCCCCGCGGCGGGCACGGCGCCGGACGCCGCCCGGAAGAGAGCGGCCGAGAGGGACTTCGAGGGGCGGGGCTCCGCGCCGCCACTGGGCGCGGCCGCGACGCCGGCGCGGGCGGCGTGCAGGCTTGGAGCGAAAGAAGGACGTACATGTACATGAATCCACGCTGGTTTCGAGAGTTCGCATTGCGCGAATATTCGTATCGCGCGGCAGGTCTCGCGGGTCAAGGGGCCGTGTTCATGTACATAGCTGGGCGCGTACGTCCTTTGTGTGCTCCCTAGCTTGGGGCGCGCTCCGGGGGTGCGCTCGGGGGGCATCTGGCGGCCCACAGGAAGCAGCCCACGGTTCACGAGCGGAGAGCATGCTCTGGAGGGGGTAATAGCTAAGTTTGGAGGGGGTAGCTCATTTTGCGACGGAGCTTCCCCCTCCCTTCTCTCCCCAACGCGAGTCCATCCCCCCTCACCCTCTTCCGAGACAGCTTGCGCCCCTCCCTCCCCCGTCGACCCAGGGGGGCGGGACGACTCTCATCCACGCCCTCGCGATCCGGACTCCGGGGAGCGATCCCGTGGATACGCGGCCGCACGAATGCGCTCCGCGCGGATCATCCGCGAGCGAAGCGCCTCCTATCCACGGGGTCGCGGCCCAGGGTGCTCAGCCCGAGAGGCCGTGGAGACGGATACGGTTTCCGTCCACCGGCGGTGTGACGTCAACACTCAGGAGGGGAAAAAACACACAGACACAATTAATCGTCGATTTCCCAGAAAATATGGGAAAATATGGGAAGTGGGGGGGAAGACAAAAACCCAGAAAATATAGGAAAATATGGGGAATATTTTTATTTGTGTGTATTTATTTGTGTGTCCTGGGGCCCCTTAAAACACGGGCGATGTCTCCGAGACCAGAGCCTCTCTTGGAGTGAACGATTTGGTGGTTAGTGCGCTGGTGGTTGCTGCTGCCTGCATCCGCAGTAGCAGTCTGCCAGATCGTGGTCAACCACCATTTCGTCATCTGCGTGGAGGTTGGCCGGTGAGTGGTGGGCGGTCCACGCATGACCCCCGTCTCGCTGAGCACCATCTGGGACTACGAAGTGATGACTCGGCATCTTGGTTTCACGTTTTGATGGTTCATACTGCTCATGCACACAGCGGCTTGCCAGCACTCTGGAAATTCGAGCTCTTTGTGTCGTCGGGCCGCGGAGGTCGCTCCATAGATGGAGCGGGTCGCGCGGCGTCAGAGGCCAGGGCCTCGGCGAGGTCGTGGCGGGAGCCCGCCGTGCGTCGCTGGGCAAGCTCTTCGGGGGCCCACGCCAGCCCGTCTTTCGAGGTGCGTCCAGCCGCCGCAGCGAGGATCTCCAGAAACGAAGTCGTCGTCATCGTCGTCCACGTGGTTCGTTCCTCTTAGGAGGAGGAGGGCGAAAATGAGGAGGAGGAGGAAAAGGAGGGGGAGGGGGAGGGGGAGGGGGAGGAGGAGGAGGAGGAGGAGGAGGAGGAGGAGGAGGAGGAGGACGAAATGGGGGGAGTAGGAGGAGGAGAACCAATACAAATCCGATGGTGTAATCAATCCTCCCTCCATCTCTCTCCACAGGTCCCTACAAGAATTCATTTTCATTGCGGGAAGTGCCCATTGGAAGCCATCCGTCCGAGAGTCTTCAATCGTGCCGAAACACCATTCCGTGGACTTCAGTGCCGTGACTGGCACGTCCGGGCAATCCTAAATCGTGCCAAAACACCATCCTGCGACAGCACAGCGATCTAACGTGACTGTCGCGTCGTGACGGTCTTCAATCGTGCCAGAACAGTTTCTGGGATTCCAACTAGGAATGATTGAAACGACTGCATTCTTTCAAGATGGATGTGCGCGGCGCGACGGCGAGAACCACATTTCGAAAAGGAACCGTCTCCTATCCTTGAAACGGCTGCAAAGTTTTAAGACGACTGTGCGCGGCGCTATGGCGAGAGCCACATCATGTTGAAAACCGCCCGCCTTGTATCCGTGATACTGTCGTAAACTCTTAAGACGAATGTGCGTGGCGCGAAGGCGAGATCCACATTTTCAGAACGACCTGCCCTCCATCCGTGATTTGTTTCAAACTCGGTGCTTCGGGATAGTTCATGGTGAGGACGTCTCAAGTGAAAACCTGACCCGCCCTACCAACATGTTAGGGGGTGCGACAGGGAGGAGTTATTTATCAGAAAAAGAGATGGAGGAGGAGGAGGAGGAATTGGAGGAGGAGGGGGAGGAGCAGAGTAAACCCAAGATGCATCAGCGATGCTGCAGTACACCCTCCCGTCCCAAGGCCCCGCCTCACATGTCCATGCAAGCCTTCCTTTGCAGTACGAGAGGAGCCCCTTCAAATGCCAGCCAGCACCACATAGGCCTGCGTTTGGCGAGGACCCCGTTTCGGAAAGGAACTGCCTGGCATCCTTATGGCGCGCGACCATGCAGTTCAACGCGGTGTCTAGCGATATCCCCCGGTCAAAGAAGGACCGACCATCCGTGTAATGGTTGTACAACTTTCCACTTCTCGTCATGAACTTCGAAGTGGGCCTCGAGCGAGAGCCCGGTTTTGAAAAGGAACTGCCCCCCCGATCTCTGCAGTGCTGCACGAGTTGAAGTTTCTGACCTGTAGGTTCAGGGAGGTCTCAAAAGCGAGAGCCCCACTGCGAAAACGAGCCGTCCTCCGCCCTTCTGCCTCCTGCAAGCTTGTAGGACGAATTTGCGCGGCGCAAAGGTGAGCGCCCCATGTTTTACCAGCCTCGAACGCATCCCTATCCCTAAGATTGATACGCCAAAAGGCTAGGATTGACACGCCAAAAGGCGATGACAATCTTAGGGATTCAAGGGGATCCCTAAGATTGGCATCGTGATGAGGAGGTGCCCAGCATAGGGATAGGGATATGTTCCAGGCTGGTAAACATTTGAAGGCGACAAGTATTCTGTTCTCTTAACTGCTGAACCCCATGGTCACGAATGTGTGCGGCTCGAGGGCGAGGTCCTAGTAACGGATGCAAGCATTCAAGGATTATGCGGGCTGCGCCAATGCGACATCCACATGTTGAACCTCCCCCCTCCCTTTCTTGAGACCGTTGCGACCTATTGAGAAGCATGGAATGAGTTTGGCAATCTGGCGCGAGCCACATTTGAATAATGACAGCCCTCGAATGCTGTTGCAGCTTTTGAAGACATGAGCGCAGCGCTCAGTCGAGAGCCACATTTGACACAACGACATGTGCTTCATCCGTGACACTGCTGCAGCATTCTAACCCATGTGCGCAGCGCTCGGGCGAGAGCCACATTTATCCCCCCCTATCCCTAAAGCTGTTGCGTGCTTTTCAGGAGAATGTGCGTGGCGCCCAGGCGAGAACCACATGTTGAACACACCCCCTTCATCCCTGAAGATGTTGCCAACTTTAGGGTGAATGTGCGCGGCGCCAGGACGAGGGACGCATCCTTGCATTCGCTGCAACCTTTCAAGACGAAAGTGTGCGGCGCGAAGGCGTGAGTGTCATTTTGAAGACGACTGGTGCTCCATATTCGAAGCTGTTGCGACTTTCAAGTTTCAGGACCATGAATTGTGAGGACGTCTCAGGTCAATCGCTGGGCCCTCCCTACCAACACGTCTGGAGGTGCGTCAGGGATTAACTATGTGTGAGGAAGAAGGATGGAGAAGGAGGATGCGCAAGGAAGTGGAGGAGGAGGAGGATGATGAGGAGAAGGAGAGGGGGAGGAGGAGCGATGGTGGTGATGATACTGATGATGATACATATGCTGAAGTTGATGCTGATGATGTTGATGATGATGATGATGATGATGATGATGATGATGATGAAGATAACGTTGGTTATCCTGATGATGCTGCTGATGACGTTGATGCTGCTGGTGATGATGCTGCTGGTGGTGGTGGTGGCCATGATGCTGATGATGAAGAGGAGCAGGAGAGGGCGGACAAGGAGGAGAAGGACCACTGTAAACCCAAGACTCATCATCGATGTTGAAATACACCCTCCCTCCAAGTTCCCTTTTTATAGGCCCCTACAAGGGGTCATTTCCACTGAGGGAGTTGCACCGTTGGGAGACAGGCGTGTGAACATCTTGAAGCGTGCCAAAACACCGTTCTCGGGATTTCAACGCCACGAGTTAACCTGACTGTTACGTCTTGGCGATCTTGAATCGTGCCAGAAAACCATTCCTGCGACTTCAGCAAAGTGAATCAACGTAACTGTCGCGCCCTGACTGTCCCGAATCGCTCCAAGGCGCCGACTCTGGTACGTGAGCTACGAGAACCAGTGAAACTCTTGCAAATGTTTAAGACGAATGTGCGCGGTGCTAAGGCGAGAGTCACATGTTGAAAACTACCCGCCTTCAATTTGTGAAACTCTGGCAGAATTTAGAACGAGTGTGCGCGGCGCTAAGGAGAGAGCCACACTTTGAAAACGACCCGCCCTCAATCTTTGAAGCTCTTGCACATGTTTACAATGAATGTGCGTGGTTCTAAGGCGAGAGCCATGTTTCGAAACCGACCCGCCATCAATCCGTGAAATACTTGCATTTTTTTAAGCGAGTGTGTGCGCGGCGCTCAATCGCGAGCCACATTTTGAAAACGACCCGCCCTCAACCTGTGAAGCTCATGCAACTTGTCAGAACGAATGTGCGCGGTTCTAAGGCGAAAGCTACCTCATGAAAACGACCCGCCCTCAATCCGTGAAGCGCTAGCAATTTTTACGACGGAGTGTGCGCGGCGCTAAGGCGAGAGCCACATGTTGAAAACGAGCCGCCCTCAATCCGTGAAGCTGTTATCAATTTATGAGCATCAGGGTCATGAGTGGCGAGGAAGTCCCATGCGATGAGCTCAGCCCGCCCTTTCGGCCAGCCTCGGGGTGGGACAGGAAGGAGTTATGCACAAGGGAAAGGGATGGAGGAGGAGGATGAGGATGAGGATGAGGATGAGGATGAGGATGAGGATGAGGATGAGGATGAGGAGGAGGAGGAGGAGGAGGAGGAGGAGGAGGAGGAGGAGGAGGAGGAGGAGGAGGAGGAGGAGGAGGAGGAGGAGGAGGAGCCCCCCCTCCGTGCACCGCAGGGCCAGAAGCGCAGGCAGGGCAAGGGGGGGGGCAAGGACGGCGGCCCTGCGACCAAGACCGCCCTCTCCAAGCAGGCTCGGCGGTCCGAGCCCGGGGAGGCAGGGGGCCAAGAGCAGTCGATTTAACCATGCGACATCTGAGCAGGCAAAGGACACAAACAGCACAACACATGCAGCCGCCATGTGGCAGTCCACTCCTGAAGATCTGATATTCCAGCGCAGGCCCGTTTTATATTTATAGGTGCACATATATACATATAGATATGTGTGTGTGTGTGGGGGTGTGCTTGTGCGCATCGCATATGGGAGATCCCACACCCGGGGCCCTGGGCCCCTCCCCTTGTACTTCGGTGTCCCGTCTCCCCAGGGGCCTCCCCGCGCGAGCCCCGGAGGTCCCAGAACGCACGAGAATCTTCCAAGACCGCTCAGGATAGCCTCCCTCTGCCTTTTGCGGCCCCCAACACAGCGCCCCACGAGAGCTCCACGACAGCCCCAGGTGACACCGCGACGGCCCCGAGGCGCCCCAAGACGTCCCAAGATGAATTGAATGAGGCCCCCCAACAGAGCCCCAAGAAGCAAACATCGCCCCAGTGGACTTCCACAGCGCCCACAGCGTCCACAGTGGCCCGAGAGGCTCCCAAGACCCATGGGGGCCCCCGCGAGGGTTCCAATGACGGCCCACGAGGAGCCCAGGACAGCCCAGGAGGCCGCCAAGACGGCCCGAGCGAGCCTCGGGACGGGCCCAAGAGGGGTCCCAGAGAGAGAGAACAAAGTTCAGACTTCAAGTCTTCGGCCCCCCAAAGGCGCCCAGGAGGCCCCAAGAGGCCCCCAGGAGGTCCCAAGAGGCCCCAAGAGGCACCAGGAGGCCCCAAGAGGATTCCCAAAGCCCCGCAAAAGGCCCCGGGGAAAACCCCAAGAGGCGGAGGAAGAGGAGGCGGAGGAGGAGGATGAGGAGGAGGACGGATCAGAGTAAGCCCAGCATGCTTCAGCGATGTTGCCAGACGCTCTCCCGTCCCAGGACCCCTCTTGCTTTCATGTAAGCATTCGTGTAGCCCCCCAAGAAGCGGCCCCTTAAAAAACGAGCGATGATGACGATGATGGTGATGCTGGTGGTGGTGGTGGTGATGGTGATGATGACGATGACGATGACAACGAAGACGACGATACTCTTACGGATGGTGATGATGATGAGGATGATGATGCTGATGGGGGTGGTGATGGTGGTGATGATGATAATGCTGATGCTGATTCTGATGATGATGATGATGATGATGATGATGACGATTAGGATGATGATGAGGCTGATGTTGATGGTGATGATGATGAGGCTGATGATGATGATGATGATGATGATGATGATGATGATGATGATGATGGTGGGGGTGATGATGATGGTGATGGTGATGGTGATGGTGATGGTGATGGTGATGATGATGATGATGATGATGATGATGATGATGATGATGATGATGATGACGATTCTGATGACGATTCTGATGATGCGGATGATGATACTGCTGCTGGTGATAATGATACTGCTGATGATGCTGATGATACTGCTTCAGATGATGATACTGATACTGCTGGTGATGATGCTGATGCTGATGCTGAGGAGGATGATGCTGATGATGAGAAAGAGCGTGTTCTACCGCTGCTGGCGGAAAACCGGGGGGGGGTCACTACCGGTTCGAACCCCTCCCCCCCCCCCCCCTCCGGAAAACCGGGGGGGTCACTACCGGTTCGAACCCCCCCCCCCCCCCAGTTCATCATGAAAAGGGGGGGGGTCACTACCGGTTCGAACCCCCCCCCCCCCTCGAAAACCGAGTGGGGGTGCGGACAGTGGTGGGGACGGTGTTGGTGGGGACAGTGGTGAGGGGACAGCGGGACAGTGGTGGGGACAGTGGGACAGTGGGACAGTGGTGGGGACGGTAGTGGTGGGGACAGTGGTGGGGACAATGGTGGGAACAGGGGGGACAGTGGACAGTGGTGGGGACGGTGGTGGTGGGGACAGTGGTGTGGGGACAGTGGGAATGAGGTGGAAACAGTGGGACAGTGGAGGGTACAATGGTGGTGGGGACAGTGGTAAAGGCGGTGGCGAGGACGGCGGTGGGACAATGGGACAGAGGTACAGTGGGGACAGTGGTGGGGACAGTGGGGACAGTGGTGGGAACAGTTGGATTTTCAGTGGGACAGCGGAGGAGTCAGTGGGACAGTGGGGACAGTGGGGATAGGCAGTGGTTGGGTCCGTGGAGACAGTGGGGAGAGTGGAACCGTGGTGGGAACAGTGGTGGGAACAGTGGGGACAGTGCGACAGTGGTGGGGGCACTGGTGGGGACAATAGGGACGGTGTGGAACCAGTGGGGACAGTGGTGGTGAGGACAGTGGTGCTGGGAACAACAGTGGGGGATGTGATGCGAGCGGTGGTAGGGACCGGGAGTCGTTTGCTGGCGGTGCGTGGGGGAGGGGGGTCGAACCGGTAGTGACCCCCCTCCGGTTTTCGAGGGGGGGGGGGGGGCTCCAACCCGTAGTGACCCCCCCCGGTTTTCCGGATCCGGAGGGGGGGGGGGGGGAGGGGTTCGAACCGGTAGTGACCCCCCCCGGTTTTCGAGGGGGAGGGGGGGGGGGAGGGGTTAGGGGAGGAGGGGTTTTGCCGGGGAGGAAGGGGGGGGGGGGTTCCAGGAGGGGGGGGGGATTTTCGGAGGGGGGGGGGGAGACCCCCGGGTTCCGGAGGAAAAGGTTGGCAATTTTCCACAGTAAAGCGGCGGTGGATCACGCTCTCTCGATGATGATGATGCTGATGATGGTGATGGTGATGCTGCTGATGCTGCTGCTGATGATGATGCAGATGATAACGATGACGATGACGACAATGATGCTGATGACACTGATGATGAGACTTACGATGATGATGACGACGGTCCTGATGATGATGATGGCTATGTTGATGATTATTGTGATGCTCATGATGATGCTGCTGCTGCTGATGATGATGATGATGACGATGATCATGCTGATTACGCTGACGATGACGATGATGATGATGATGCCGATGATGCTGATGATGATGCTGATGATCATCATGATGCTGCTGTTTGTGATGACGATGATGCTGCTGATGCTGCTGCTGCTGCTGATGATGATGATGATGATGATGATGATGTGGATGATGCTTCTGATGATGATGATGACGATGATGATGATGATGATGATGATGATGATGATGATGGTGATGATGCTAATTACGAATATTATGATGATGGTGATGATGATGGTGCCGCTGATGATTATGCTTGTGGTGGTGATGATGATGTTACTGATGCTGATGCTGATGCTGATGCTGCTGCTGATGATGATGATGATGAGGACGACGATGATGATGGTGACGATGGTCATGATGATGCCAATGATGATCGGCAGGGGGTTGAGGACATGAGTGAGTTGGATGGCGAGATCGTTTCTAGAAAAGACCATCGAGGCCCCTATCAGGATGATTTCTGCAGAACTTCCGGGGTCCCGTCCCTCGAAGATAGTTCCGTACGCGCCCAACAAACATGCCCAGAGGAGGGCCTGAGAGGGCCCGAAGAGGACCAACCAGAGAGCCTAACAATCCAATGCGTACCACTGTTATGCATTTCTTCGCATTGGTTAGACAGCTGTATGCTATCGGCGATCATGCGTCTCTGCTCGGTCCGCGTTCCTGCTACTTCTTCGGCTTGCGTTGCATCTACTTGCGGGTACGCTCATGCGTGCAGCTGTGAGGTTGTCAAGGGCTGGGGCTTGCTAGAACCTAAGCGCGCGAAGCGCGCGTGATTCGGGCCGGCGGGGGGGGGGGGCAGGGGGAGAGAGGGAGAGGAACACCCTGAGGAGAGGGACAAAAGGATGACGACAAAGAGGACGAGGAGGAGCAGGACCAGGTGCATGAGGAGGAGTACGAGTATGGAGGAGGGGGAGGGGAGGAGGAGGAGGAGGAGGAGGAGGAGGAGGAGGAGGAGGAAGAGGAGGAGGAGGAGCAGGAGGAGGAGGACGAGTATGGAGGAGGAGGAGGTGGAGAAGGCGGAGGAGGAAGAGGAGGAAGGAGGAGGAAGGAGGAGGAGAAGGAGAAGGAGGAGGAGGAGGAGTACGGGGAGGAGAGGGTATCAGGATAAGCCCAGGACGCTTCAGCGATGTTGCCAGACGCCTTCCCGTGCCAGGGCCTTCCACGTTCTCGTGTAAGCATCAACTTTACTCTCCGAAGCGGCCCCTTCAAAAACGAGCGGCGGTGACGATGATGGTGATGATGGTAATGAAGGTGATGTTGACTCTGAAGACGATGACGATGACGATGACGATGATGATGATGATGATGATGATGATGATGATGATGATGATGATGATGATGATGATGATGATGATGATGACGCTGCTGCTGATGATGATATAGCGGATGGTCATTCTGACAATGGTGATGATGTTGATGATGATGGGTGAGCAGGATGACGATGACGACGTTGAGGATTATGATGCTGACGACGACGAGGATGATGCTGATTGTTTTGATGATGGTGGCAAGGATGATCGTGCTGATGGTGATGATGATTCTGATGATGCCGATGACGGCGATGATATTACTAGTGATGTTACTGATGATGCTCATGATGCTGCTGATGATGATGATGCTGCTGATGATGCTGCTGATGATGATGCTGATGACGGTGACGATGCTGATGCTGATGATGGTAATGATGCTGATGCTCTTGCTGACGACGACGACGATGATGATGAAGAAGATGAAGACGATGACGATGATGATGATGATGATGATGATGATGATGATGATGATGATGATGATGATGATGATGATGATGATGATGGGGGCAAGATGCCAATGATGATCAGCACGGGTTGAGGACAGGAGTGAGTTGGATGCTGAGGTCTTCTCTAGAAAAGGCCATTGAGGCCCCTACTATGATGATTTCTCTATAACTTCCGGGGCCCCACCACCCACTTTTTAGCTCCCTGCGCGCCCAACATGCCCAGAAAAGGGCCTGAGAGGGCCCGAAGAGGACCACCCAGAGGGCCTCCAAATCCAATGCGTA